AGGGCTGGCAAATAATAGAAAGCGAGGCAGCCTGTTCCCTTAAATTGTGGCAAGGAAACAAATACCTAACTGATGTTTACAATCATGTCGCTACCTGCAGAGCTTCAACCTGTGCCCAATGCCGTGGGGGGCAACAAATTAGTTTTGGTTTGTTTTTCTCTCTTAGCTTTAAAGTCATATAATGTTCTTAAACTGTTCTTTACAGAAAACACGTTTTCAGAAAAATATTTTCTTTTAGTAAAAATACGTTTAGGATTTGGGAGCCACTGGTGTCGCTCAATGTGAGACCTAGGGTTGAATTTTACTACTGGCAAATAAATACATAAATAAACATATATTTGAAGGTAGTTAAAATATTTTGTTTGAAAGCTTCTAAAAAGTGAGTCATTTTGAGAACTTTGAATGGAAGATAGTAATTAGTGGTCTCCAAATCTGAACGCGTGCAGATAGGGAGAGGGGCATCGGCCTGTGTCCTATGCAAGGTGCCGCCACAGCTGGGCAGCAGGTGTTGAGGATGGCAGCCCAGCTCCGAGATGAGCTCCCATGGTGTCCTGGCCCAGGCCTCTCCGGGGTAGCCTCAGTCCTGCCACTGCAGGAGAAGCAGCAGCATCAGGCTAGATGCTTCAGAGGGAGCCTCTGCTCTAAGCTGGATGCATGAGAAATCCTTTTTTTTACCTGCCTCTGTCTTTATTATTTTTTTGTTTTGTTTTGTTTGTTTGTTTGTTTGTTTGTTTTTTGCAGAACTGGGGATTGAACTCAAGCCCTTGCACTTGCCAAGAAAGTATTTATTCTACTAGCTATTTCCCTGGCCTTTACCTGCCTCTGTCTCTCCAAAGGAAATAAGTTCACTAAGCGTCCATGCCACAGAACATGACCTACAGTCACAATTGCTGTCCAGCATCCCAAAGGAAGCAGCCAGGCAGAGAGCTAGAGAGGAGCTGGAGAGTAGGGAATCCAAGTCTAGGAGCAGAAAGGACGATTTGCAGATTGTGTACAGTTACAGAAGAGCAAGGGCAACACAGGGAAGAAGGTACTACGCAGAATGAGGGCAGACTCAAGGACGACGGAAAATGGACCAGTGCAAATGTCAGATAGAGAGAAAAAGTATGAGAGGAAAACAGAGGGGACAGGAACAAAGGCATGCCACTGACCAGACAGAAGGACAAGCACAGAGAGAAACTAAAGCATGAACAAAAATGATAAGAAACATGGCAGGAAACCAGACAGAGAACATGATAGAGAAAGAGAAAGGCCAGTGGGCAGAGGACCAGGAGAAAAATGGGACTAGGGCAAAAGGAAAAGCAGGGAGAACAATATTCAAATTTCAGGAATAGGAAGAGGAAAAAAGCAACAACTTCCAACCACAGGCACAGGTCAGGCAGAGACCAAAGCAGGTGGATAGACAGAGCTAAAGCCAGCCTTACCTCATTCAATAGGGACCGGGGCCTAGGGTAGTCCCAGCCAGCTTCACAGGGCTGCATCTCATTGAAGCGGTGGCTGAGGATGTCCTCCAGTGTGGACATTTCAAAAAAAAACTAAGGCTAGAAGTCCCATTGGACCCAGCTACCTCTTTCTTGACATTTTCCCTAAAGAATTAATAGTATCATACCAGAGAGACACATGCACACACATGTTTACAGTGATGCAGTTTGTAGCAACTAAGTCTTAGAAACAGCCTAAATGCCCATAAACCCATGAATGAATAAAGGAGGTGTGGTTCTTTTATACAGTGCAGCACTACTCAGCCAATAAGAAATGGATACTCTTGAGATGTGTCTAGGTAAATGGATGTACTTTGAGAACATACTTAATAAAATAAATCAGACACAACTATATAAATACTGCATAGTTGCTCTGATGTGAGAAACTACAAATGTAAATAAGGAACAAAATGTATAATAGACATTGTAAAATAGGAAAACAATATTCAATTGAGAAGCAGAATCAAGGAGAGGGAAGGATGAATGAAGAAACGAAAAAAAAGCAAGGAGAGAAGGAAAGTTTTTGTAAATAAGGAGGGGAATGGGAGTTAAGGTAAGGGGAAAGGAATGGGAAAGAAAGAATCAAGATACATTGTGTATAGGTACAAAAAGTCTATGATGAATATAATCATTATGCTTACCTAAAATATAGCAATCAACTTATTTACAAAACAAAAGAAAAACTTAAACCTCACAACAGCAGTGGTATGTGATGCCAAACATCACATGGGCACAGCTGACCCAATGGGTCTTCTTTCTCACTCAGTATGGGGCTGTGAGTGATCATCTCCCAAGAGTTGGAGGTGATGGGGGAGATTTCATCTACTGAGGAGGAGAAAAGGGCAGAGGAATCCCTCAGCTCAAAGGTTCGGTAGAGGTGTGTAAGGTGAGAAACAGTGCAAAATTTTATAGAGATTTGCACCCAAATAATGCTGCACCACTGCAAGTGATGAATCTATTTAACAATGGCATATGTCACATTTGTGCAAAATCCTCAAAAGGAGGCAAAGCGAGTGTCACTGGTAGGCTCCTTATTAAGTTTGCATGAAATTAACGGCTCCACTGAGTCAGTCATTGTGAAATAGTGTAACAGGGAAGCCGTCCAACACAACTTAACCCTCATTTCTCCTGTCTCCCTCATGTCAGAAATGAAGATTTCAAAGTGAAATGCAGGTCAATTTATTTTTCTTCATATTTTGTATTTTCTTATTTCATTTTTCCTTTTATATTAAAGAGAAAATAGGAATAAAAATGATACAGAATTTCAAAACAAGATGATAGAAAATTAACAATGGTTATTATATTACATAATATTATCTTCAAAGTAATTATTCAAATTACAATATATAGGCATGCAAAATCCATCAAACAATATTATGTTGTGTTCATTCTCTCAGGCTTTCACAGAGAGCAAACTGGTCAAGGAATGGCTGTGACTCTTTCACATGGCTGACACTGACAAAGGGTCTACTAAGTGCAGTACAGGGTTTTCAGGATAAATCCTGAGGGGACTTGATTGACCTTATCACATACAAAACTTACATTTCTTGTTATATAAGTCTTACTTTACCTTGGTCTTAACCATCCAGCAGAAAGATATAACAACCGGGTATAAGGGATGAAGCCATGTTGGTATGCTGGGCTGTAAAGGGCTCGTGTCAACAACTTTTGACACTGCCAGTCCTGTGGATAACGCACTACTATTATGGACTATTAGACTATATTGGAATATTTTGCTGAATTTATGCACCTACAATAGATAAATGACAGTGGAATACCCTTTTCTGACAAAACTAAACAGAAAAAAAGGGATACAAATGAATGGCCATTTTGTATCTGTATATTCAAAATAGGAAAGATATACAGTTACATTCTCTTAATTCAATGAATAAGATTTGTTCTAATAGTGTTTATGGACGAGATGTCATGTCTGCATCTTGTACAATGAATAAACACTAAGACAACAATATGCAATATATTTATTATTGAAACTGTCCTACTGATCATTTTTGAAACTATCTCACTGCTATTTCTTTCTCAATAAAATTATTTTTAAAATTATGTTGTATGAGATTAAAGTATTGTAATCATTGTCATATGAATATTTTTAGGTGGTGGAACAAATGATCTCATTCTTTGTTTTTATTTATTTATTTATTTATTTTTTGTTTCTTTTTGTTTTCGTTTGTGATATGGGTGATTGATTTCAGGACCTTGTGCTTGCCACTGAAGCACTTGTTCTATGGAGCTATCTCCCCAGTTTACCATTATTTTTTATATGCAAGATTGTTTTCATACACAAGTGCTTTAAATCACAAGCATGCTTCTGAAATGAATTAAGGTCACCATCCAAGGATTGCTGTAAATTTATTCTATTCACTGTCACACAATCACTGCTATCATTTGAGTCTTCAGTAATTTGTTTTCAAAGGCATTTGTTCATTTCATCTAGTTGTTGAATTTTCTGGTGTAGAATTGATGACAGGAATGGAATCCAACTCCTCCCTTTGCCCATGCTGATCCCAGAGCCACACTCAAGTTAAGCATAAGCCACATGTGGGGCAGAGGGTGAAGAATCTTCAAAGGAAATGCAGGATTGGAGCTGTGAATCTGAGGAGACAATCTTCTCTTGATGAGATGAAAAGTCTTGTGGGCCTACACAAAACTCAGAGAAGATTAGAGCCAGTCCCTAGAAGGAACCTCCACCTCATCCTCTTGCACAGCTTCTTCTCCATCCATCCGGGTACAATCCACAACTCCAAACTTTGATTCTTTTCTGCTTACTCCCACAACTTTGGAAAGTCCCAACTAAATCTCTGTTCTGGGCTTCATTCTGTTCATGGAATGCACACCCAGACTGAGAGGATCAGAAAAATGTAAGAGAATGAGTAAAACCAATGCCAAACAGAAGACCTTAATACAGGCTGTTGGGGTGAAGCTCTGGGGAAGAGACAGGTGAAGAGATGAGGGAGGGAGGATCTGTTTCTGACACATCTGCTTTGGACTGAGCAGTGGGCATCTGGGGCTGGGGCTGGAGGTGGGGCTGGGACTGGGATCAAGTCATGGTGTGCTGCCTGCAGAAGACATGCTGATTTGTGCATTCTCACTGATGTCTAGTTGTATCCAGAGAAGGAGTAGAGTTCCCTGATCTGGCCCTTAGTGACCACAGTCAGAAGTATGAAAAGCTCACATTGGCGACCCTTACGTTAGAAGGTTTTTCTGTGATCTCTTTTGGTTTTCCTGAAGTCTCTGTATTGAAGAATCTGAAGAGATAAAAAGCTAAGGTTAACATTCAGAACTGCTCCCATGATCATGTTCCTAACCACCCCATGCCTCAAAGTGGAAGGATTCTGATCCAAAGGCTCACAGATGTATGTGATTCGAAGGGATCCATGTCACTCTCTAATCAACAAGACACTAAGAGTGAGGAGGAGGCCAGGGCCTCTGGAAGAGGAGACACCCACCTGGGCATCAGAAGCAACAAGCTGTTCGCCCTCGGTAGGGCTGCTGGTCCAGGTCCTGGATGGTGTCCCTCAGGCTCTGGCCACGAGTCTCAGGCAGCAGGACACAGAACACCCCTGCTACGATGGTGGTGCAGCCATAGATGAGCATAGGGATGGACTCATGGTAGACCTCCAGCAGGAGGATAAGTGGTGTAAGGATGCCCCCGATCCTTGAGAAGATGCTCACCAGCCCCATTCCTGTTTGTCTGGAGGAGGCCAGCACAAACTGAGCATACTCAGCCTTGCTGCAGGCCAGATTCACCTAAAGTCTCCATAGAGACCCCCAAAGGCCTGCTGGGTCTCCAGTCCTCGCTGACCCACCCAGTGCTCCTGTCCTCTGCTCCTTCATGTGCCTTCTACCTCCAGGCATCCATGCCTGCTAAACTCCTGTTCAGCTGTCACTTCTCAGACCAAGGCTGCACCTGCTGTCCTCCCTCTTCCCACCTGAGTGACCATTCATGTTCTCTCTCTTTTTTAATGATTGTTGTATTCCATATTATTGCCTTCAGATTAGTTGTTCAGATTACCATATATAATCATGCAAAATTGGTCAAAAAATAAAAAGGAGAAAAAATATAGGCATTAACACAAACATTCCTTTCAATAGATTAGTATAAATCAGCAGTACAGTTATTCAAACTCTCTTGTGTATGTACATATATGTTTTCTTTCTTTCCTTCCTTCTTTCTTTCTTCTCACTTTTGCTCATCCCAGTTATTCCTTTCCTTTGAACAGTTTCTTTCTCTTTCACAGTATCTATTGTACCTTGTAATTTTATTTACTCTTTCAGGTTCTTACACTAGTAAGACAATATTATGTTTACACATGTCGATCTGATTTATTTCATGTATGAGTATGGTCTCCATTTGCACCCAATTACCCATAAAAGCCTTGGGATTATCTTAGCTAAGAGCTGAGCAATAATCCATATAAACAAATATCACATCTTTTCAAACTATGCCTTTGTTTAGGGGCATTTGTGTTGTTTCCAAATGTAGCTATGTCAAACTGTGCTGCATTAAACATGAGTGCAGATACATAATTGGAAAGATGCACAGGAGGGAAAAAGAGATGTTAATTGGGACCTCTATCCTAGACTTTTGAGGAATCTCCACACTTACTTCCATAGTGGCTGTACCAGTCTACTATCCTGCCACAATAGATAAGAGTTCCTTTTTCCTCACAGTCCTTCCATCATTTATTATTGGTTGATTCCTTGAAGATAATCATTCTTTCTGGGGTGACATGGAATCTTAGTGTTGTTTTAATTTGCATTTCTCAAATGACCAATGATATTCAATATGTTTTAATGAAATTATTTGCCATTCCTGTTTCTTCATCTGAAAAGTGTGTATTCATCTCAGATGCCCACTTTTTGATTGGGTATTTGAATGTTAAAGCTCTAATTTCATTTTGACTATTCACTTTAGACATATCCCATCTTCCCACTTGACACAGCTATGGCATGGTGAATTTTTATATCTTTCCACAACTCAGATGAGGAAAACTTGGGGGTTGCACTAAATGTTGAGTTTCCCTGGCCCTACTGACAGCTTAACTAGCTATTCATACATGTGGTAAGAACAACATAGTGACAGTCAAAATCAGGATAAGACAAGGATTCCTACCAGCAAATCTTACCGGATGATGGTGGGGAAGAGCTCTGCAGTATACACGTAGGAGATGGTAAAGCTGGCAGCGGAGGCAAACTTTCCCACCACAGCCAGCACAGTGACCACCACAGGCTGATCTGCAGGGAAATGCTGGTCAGCCACACAGAGAGTGGATGCCTTACCTCTCTGTGAATGCCAACCCCCAACCCTACTGCACTAAAACTTGGGAGAACCCATATTCTTGACATGGGAGCAACGGCCCATGGAAAGGCCCCAGGCTGAGGTGGGTGGGATGCATGCTAAACAGCCAGCCTGATACCTGAAGGGATGAAGACGATGGTGATACACATGACACCACCCACAATCAGGGTTCCAGCCTGGCTCCATTTGCGACCCAACTTCTCCATCATGAAGATGCTCAAAAGGCGGGCAGGCACTTCAACTGTTCCAAATATCAGCTGTGTCAGGTAGATGTCCAGACCAAATTCACCCACTTGGAAGCTAAGGCCATAGTACACCAGGCTATTCACAAACCTAAAAACGATCCAAAGGTCAATGTCATTGCTGTGTATTCAACACCATGACACCCAGAGGACTTGGCCAGGGTCACACCAGGAAGCACTAGTACTATTGTGCTGAAAACAGCATGGCCTGAAGGCCTTCAACCCACTATGGCAATGGCAAACACAAGGGAAGAGAGTGCTCTCTGGCTTTGTCCATGCATAAGCCATGGGCCGTAGCTACTCACCAGACACAGGTGAGAATCAGGGTCACCTTCCGGAGATGGGGATGCTTGAAAAGATCTAAGGCATTCCCTTTGCGGGCTTGCTCCTCTGGGACCAGCTGGAAGGAGATGCACAGTGAGAGGGCCAGGGAAGATGTGGGAGGGGCAGCTCTAAGGCAGGACAGGGCCTGATCCTGCCACAGGTACCTGGCTCAGGAGCTCTGGGGAGAGCTTGCGCTTGTTGACTGAGGCTGCCTTCATGACCAGTTGTTTGGCCTCTTCTGTCTTCCCCCGGATGAGAAGCCACCGTGTAGATTCTGGTAGAAGCCTGAAATCCAGGAAACACTGGGAACTCTGGGTCCTGAGTGCTGTGGACTGCTCCCAGCCACAACACAGAACACAGAACCCTACACCCATCCCCACAGCTGCCTGTCATGCAGCAGCCTCTGACCACCTGGGAGATGTGGTGAAGTTAAGGGCTGCACCCCATGCCCACAGCACAACTGCCCAAGCACCATCATCCTGCACGGGTCTCCTCACCAGAAGTAGAAGAAGAGCAGGAAGGTAGGAGCAGAGACAGCAATTTGCAAGAATCTCCAGTTTGGGACACCATAGGCGAGTCCAGCTAGAACCATCTGCCCGACAGCAGAAATAGCCTGCATCACAGCCACTGTACGAGTCCTCCACGAGGGCCCAACCCACTCTGAAACTGTGGGAAGAGAAGCTGAGGCTTAGGGTGGGTTAAACTTTCCTATTCGGTCTCTGTCTCTTGCTTAGCTGCCACCATGGTAGGGCTGGAACCTAATCCCAGCATAGGACACCATAAGGACTTAAGGCGCAGATTCTCACCTACACACCCATGGGCAGTTTAGAGACTGCTGGAGTCCAGGCCCTGGAGATATACCTGCTCTTGAAGGCTTCACTTCCAGATACTCACTCAGGGCAACGGTGGTTAACAAACATCCAGCATTAGCTATAGCCACAGCAAAGCGAAAGGCCATGTAGAGCTCAAAGCTGGGCACAAAGGCTGTGGCCAGGCCCACGATGGCAATCAGCAGCAGCTGCAGAAGGATACAGGCTCTTCGGCCAATCCTGAGGTAAAAAAGGGGCCAGTGGGTGCAGGGAGAGGCACCCCCCTGAGGAATGGCCTGGGAAACCCAGGGGCCTGCCCTGGAATTATGTCTCCAGGAGACATGATCCCTCCCTGGGCGTATTATTTGAGAGTGGGGGGAACAGAGCCTGGTACTTGAGGCCGGTGTGTGGTGGATGGGGGAATGTGGCCTACACCAAAGTGTGGTAGGCACACGGCAACCTCATCAACATGCATACCGATCACTGAGGGGCCCGAAGATGATGGCCCCAGCAAGGAGTCCAGCCATGAACACTGACTGCGAGGTCTGCTTCAGGGGCTTCCGATCACAAACCAGGTTGAACTGAGGCAGACAGAGGCAGGTGTAAGTGTAGGGGCACTGAGGGTGAGTCCTTCAGCACCTATTAGGGCCCAAGGTACCGAACTGTAGGCACGGACCCCAAGATCCATAAGAAATTCATTGTGGACTGCAGCATAAACATGGAGAACACTGTTCAACCTCTGTACACCGCGCATTCTGCCAGTGCAGTGCAGTGCCCCAGTCAACACGGAGTGGCACAGACCGCCTTCCAGCAGTCCCATCCATCTTGATGCAGTCAGTTCATGGCAGGTGCTGTGAGAGTGACACCCTGTGTGTGGTGGTGTTGAAGGGAAGGTGTGTGGGGGCGCAGATTTCTAGGACTGAGGAGATGTCTCTGCTCAGGGGGACACACATCCTAGTAGAAAGCCACTGCACATATTCTTTGAAAAATAACAACTGGAATATGTGGTTTTAACTTAGCTTGACATTTAGAACGGTTTACCATTTATCAAAATCTGGTGTAGCACAGCTGCCAAGTGTGTAATATTTGTGAGCTTTGAAAGACTACTAATGGCTCCTTCCTGAGTCACAAGACCTCTCCCCACTGCCCCACTGCCTGGAAAGCACTCAGGACTCCCTGAGTCTCCTGTTGCGCTCAAGAAACCCCAAAGGCCCACACTGGCACTCTGAGTCCAATGAGCACGCACAGCCCTTCAGGTGAGTACAGAGGAGCCCATAGGGAGGAAAGAGGGAGACAGGCAGAGGGACAGACAGATAGGCAGGGAAAGAGACAGTGTATGCTTCTGGGCAAATTCATACCAATGCCCTTAATAGCCCAGGCTGACTGAACAACAGAGTGGGAAACCCTGTGCACACAGTGTGCAGGCTGATGTCGCCCTGCGCACTTCCACACTGTGTGCACATGTGAGGCATATGTCTGACCCCATGCTGCTGGGCCAAAGGCCCTGGGAGCATTTCTGTCCCCTGAACACACAGCCTTGGCCTATCCCCACATAGCATGGCCTGCTGCCACATGACGTCTGTTGCATCACTACGCTAAGCTACTTGAGGTGGTGCAGGTCCCTGTCCTGAACACTGCATGCACCAGCTCCTGTAGTGCTCCCTGCTGTCCTTACAGCTACAGCGCACTGAGAGAGGAGAGGTCCACAGCCAATGCTCACTCAGCCACTGGATGGCAGCACAGCAGTGCCATGTCTCTGTGAAGCCCCCTGAAGGACCAGGGAATGTGTGCTGAAGGGAAACACAGGAGTGAGAGCCGCCCCCTGCTCACTAGTCAATCACGACAAGTTCACTGATGTGAGGCAAGATTATGTCCTACCCAGAACTAACAATAGAACTCATATTTGCATTCTCAAGCAGAACCTTAAGGACCTTTTTAAAGTGTGAAATAGTTAAATTAGTCCTGGAAATGAAGCAAGGCAGGGCAGGAGACTGGACTGTTCTCCTACCCCATTTTATATAGTTTGGTTTTTATATAGGGACTACAGAATCTCTTTATGTGTAAGATACCACATAAAATGAATAGAAACAAATGTTGGCTCCTACCAGACTTGAGTCAGAACTGGGCAGCTTTGTGAGACCTACAGACTTGAGCTGACTTGTGTCCACAAAGCAGGCATAAAATCTGCTGCATAGCATTGTCTCATGAAATGCAGGCCATTCACAATTGTACCAGCCTACGCCAATGGATTCTCCAAAATTGGCATCCGCTGTCAGTAGCCTGAATTCCTGGCCTCCGTGCAGCTTCTGCCCTGCCTATCATGAACTTCTTCTGCTGTCTCCTAATCATCTGACATGTAGCAGCAGTGCTCAGGTTTGGAGAGGCATCAGGATCCCCCAGCTTATGGGCTGCTGTCATCTTGTAGATGGCATCAAGTGCCACCTGTAGTAGCTGGTTCTGTCTAGGACCTGCAGAACTTCCCTGTCTTATCTCAGCACAGGCTACTACATTTCCCTGACTCTTTCAAGACCTGCAGCAGTTCCCTTTAGTCTCTTAGACTTTGGTTTTAGCGCTGCATCCAAGCACCATTACGAGCTGCCTCTTTTCATGCATTCTAATATGTCAGCAGTTCTCAAATTCACCAGGTGCGCTTCCCTGCCTGGAGACTCTAACAATGTTGGCTCTGGGCTTCACAGTTTCTTTCACTGTGACCTCCCAAGCAGCCTCAGGAGAGATCACTTGAGCTGCCACTCCTCAATGGTCTGTGTCTCATACTATTCAGAGATATAACTGGACAAGACAAGGAAGCACATTTTCCTTTGTCAAAAATTGGACACTAAGAAAGGTGGATACCAGTGGGATGAGGAGAAGCCAACTCTGATCTTCAAGAGCACCCAGCCTTGTGATAGCCAAATCTTGGAAACAACCAAGTTGCTCATCACCTGAGGAATGGTTGAAAAAGATGTGG